ATAGACATCCCTTGCACTCACCCACGTGGGGTTTCAGCCAATCGTGGCGCATATCATCAGTCACATGCCTCGAAAAAGACGATAACGTGGAAATACACACACGTGTATTCCGTCCTTAATCCCTTTCATTCATGGGTACCCCGTCCTTAAAGGGATATACACATAGATGTGTATTCCAGTCTAAATGGGTTAAAGTGCCATGAATTACTCATTTTGAAAGTCAAGACAGACGCAGTTTTCTGTAGTTTGTCGTAGTACCATTTAGTTTTGTGTGAAATCACTCAGTCCTGCACTAACAAAAGTGAAAAATTATTTGAATTATAATTAATAATTATACAAGTTTCATGAACATTGGGCCAGTAGTTTTTCTGTAATCATGCTGACAAACCAAACTGAAAACAGAACCTGCTTGCCACAGAAATAACTTAAGCCCTTGGTGCCGTCTGAAACACAGTGCAGCTGCAGCTGTGAACGTTTTGATGACACTCACCTTGCAGATGAACTCAATGTCCTCCCTCTCGATCTCCTTCACCACCATGATCTTCATTTTGTTGAGGAAGTGCAGGGCGAGGTCGCTCAGAGCGTCTCTGTCACAGGACAGTTTGTTGTTAGTATCAAACATGTTTACTGTCTAAATCTATAAAGTTTGACAAGTTTGACACCAGCATCTGTTCTCATTTCAGACATGTTTGTGTACCTGAGGATGGACTTCTGGATGAGCAGCACGTTGCAGCCGGCTTTTTTGATCTGTTTCACCATGTTGAGGATGTAAGCGCGCTCCTCCCGCAGCACGCGGTCCATCTGGGCGTAGTCTGACACCACGATCTGGTTGTCCATCTGCACGCCAAAAGACATATCGTGATGTGATCATACTGCGGGATCATTTCAGTAGTTTGAATAAATGATGTCAAGCTTATTTCAATTCCAAAATGTAGTTTTAAAATATTAATTTTATATGAATAAAGGGTTTTGTCAGCTGCAATGCACAACATTCACATTTAAAGCAGAGAAAAGCTGCCACCTCTCTTCTGAGCTGAAAGATATCAGGAGACTCACGTCAGTTTTGGGAGGGGACAGGCAGAACTGGATGAGGCCGATCTTGGCCTTCTCCACACGGGATACGCCGGTGTTGGCCACCCTCTGGGTCAGCACCAGGCCGTCCACCAGCTCACAGTCATCAATGGTCCCTCTAAAAAGACAATACAAAGACACAAATCAAGATCAATACTTTACATGCAGGCACTGTAATCCTTCTGGAATTCCATGAACTACAGAAGGAAAAAGGTCTCAGATGACTTCTGACACACAAAGTACCCTTTTCCTCTATTACCTCAATACGATTACAATTTTTAAAAGAAATATTAAAAAGCCTGAAATGTAGGTGAAATCTTTCTTCACTAGAAAACCAAACCAGGTGACAATTTTTGTTTCACATGATTTGTGATACGGACCAGCTGGGTTCCACACTCACCCGAGCTTCTTGATGATTTTGATGTCCTGCAGGTCTACCCCGGTGGCGGTGGCCGGGTCAATGACTCTCATGACAGCGTCCACGCTCATGGGAGCCAGCAGACTGGAGTACTGCGACACCACCTTGGAGCACAGTGACGTGGTGGCGCTGTTGAGCAGCGTCTCGCGGTCGCTCAGCTGCACCGGCCGGCTCATGCCCGTCAGCACCTCCACACCTTTCTCCACAGCCTTCTGGAAGGACTCTGAGATGATGGTGGGGTGGATACCTGACAGACGGGACAACGTGTAAACATTTAAGAACAGAGTAGTCGATCTACAGACAATCAATAAACAAAAATGTTATTTTCACTTGACTGTTATAATCATTTACCCGGCAAACGCGCCAAATGGTCTCTGGTTTCAGATACAAATTGAGGATTTGCTGACTTTTTAAGTTTATTTTAAATTAAATATCTTTGTACTTTTGACTTTCCCCACTTCTAAATACTCTGGCCCTCTTCTGAAATTAAACTCAACTTGAACAATCTGCTCATGACCGCTTATATTTGCATCTTCTCATTTTCAATATGCCAATTTTTCCATCCTTTTCCACTTTTCAATGTGTGCATGAATACAGGTAGATACTCCCCAAAACTAAATTAATTCTCCTGAAATTTGCTAATCAAACTGCCAAACTTCCACTCCCCAGTAATGCTCCACGTTAAAGCCAAGATAAGCATTTACAATAGTGGCATTTATTTAATTGTGTGTCTGTTTTCTTTCCTTCACAGCTCTTACCTTTCTGCAGCAGTTTGGAGCAGGCATCCAACAGCGCTCCAGCAATCACCACCACAGATGTTGTGCCGTCTCCAGCCTCAATATCCTGGGCTTTGGACAGTTCCACCAGCTGAAACACACACACAAAAATTTCAATACAGGTTTCAAAAACGACAAAGATTAGTTCATGTTGAAATATTAATGATGTGCATCGCGAATCATCTTGGGAAAAGGAAAAAAAATGCTGTAAAAAGGAGCATTTATGGTTTGGATGCAGCTGAATCAACAGCATCAGACAGCAACGTACCATTTTGGCTGCAGGGTGGAGCACCTGCATCTGCTTCAGGATGGTGGCGCCATCGTTGGTAATGGTCACGTCACCTTTCTCATCCTGGATCTGAAATGAACACAAAAACAGCACCTGCTTCAGAAACACATGTGTATGACCCAGGAGCTAGGTAAAGTTAGTCTGGAGTCAAAATCTGTTCACTGACCATCTTGTCCATTCCTTTGGGCCCCAGGCTTGTTCTGATGGCATCTGCAACAGCTGTGAGACAAGCAGGTGACGTGTCAGTACCGTGACAATGATCAACTCACATTCATGTTTTCAATAGGAAGAGGAAAACCACACAATAACCATTAGTGTTTTCTTGTTGTTAAAATATTAGGGGTTTCAGGGTGCAACAATTAAAATGCTGACATTGTGTCTTTTATTATAAAGGTTGGTCTTGTTCTTCCTACTGCACACAGCAAATGCTGCATGTGCATGTTTCAGGACAATAAAATGAACAAAGCTCATAAATAATTCACGAAGTCAAAACATTACGAAAAATCAAGCTGTCAAAATCCAGTTTCCACATTAACCTTACACAAGCCCAAAAAGGGCATCGGGGATCCAAAATGTTTTTCAAGGACCCATAATAAAATGTAATGACAATTCACAACATATAACACGAGTGTTTATCAACGTGTGGAAATTAACAGCAACTTTTTCCAATCTAGTTAGTTATATGTGTGACATTATGTGGAATCTTATCCACAGAGGATGACTGTAACAATTAATTTCATTACACACAACAAAATTCCAAGACATTTCCAAAACTTTCATTGATTTTGACTAATTCCTGGACTTTTCCAGGCCTGGAAAATGAGATTGTGAAATTTTATGACTTCTACAGGTTTTCTATGACTCTGGGAAGCCTGTCTCCTCTCATACCCACTGGATAAGAAATATCCTGTGTTTTATAAGACTGTTAACGATTGCTTCCTCAGTATGTCTAAAGGATTCAACAGGGGGGCGGCTGTGGCTCAGAGGTAGAGCAGGTCGTCCACTAATTGGAAGATCGGTGGCTCGATGGCCTGGCTCCTCTAGTCCACATATCCAAGCATCTTTGGGCGAGATACTGAACCCCAAATTGCTCCTGATGGATCAGTATGTGAGAGCGTGTGACTGGTTACTGAGTAGCCTTGTATGGTATCCTCAGCCACCAGTGTGTGACTGTGTGTGTGAATGGCTGAATTGACATTAAATGTAAAAGTGCATTGAGTGGTCAGAAGAGTAACAAAAGTACAGTCCATTTACCATTTAATTCATATCTAACGTACATATGTATGCTCCTTTATCACTTTGGAATTATTGTCTGTTTATAAACCAATTAAAGAAGGTTTATAAAAGCAAAGTGACGTCATTATAATGCTCCAAAACTGTAGACTATTTGCCTCAAGATACGCATTTCAGTCTTTGCATCTTAGCCTCTGGCCATATATAGTATTGCAGCACTTTGGGACACAGCTAGCTAAAACTGAGATTGTGTTGAGTCATGAGCATCTTGCAGAGGGAGAATACACCATCTCTTCACATAAAAAAAAAATCTGACATTATTAACGTTATTTACAGCTACACTGGAAGTAGCTTTATGGGGAGCAACCCAAATTGGAGGTAAGTTTGATTAGATTAAGTTGTATTTGTTGCATGTCATGTATGCCGAATTGAAAAAGGAGATTCTTTTTAATTAATAGACGCCTCTTAAGTTTTGTAGTTATTCTGCTGTGTGCTTTTAAAACTGAGTTTGCACTTTATTGGATTAGATTTCGCACCAGGTAGAAGCTAATGCTTAAAATGAAAATGAGTAACGGTTCCCTGCCCAGCCCACAGCTAGCATTTCATACTGCACTGAAAGGTGATGTGCCGGGCCGGATATTAGCAATTTTAAAGTAGCTTATAAATAAGCTTATGATATTTAACCTACCTTTGGCAGCAGAGATGTTACTGAACCGAATCTGGGCCGGCTTGTCGCGGTCCACATACGCCCCTCCTTTGTTTTTGCTCATGTTTGAGACCCTCGGTGCCGCCGCTGCTTCGGGCATCTTGTCTCGATAATCGATGGAAAATGTTAGGAGAAGTCTTCAGAACGGGAGTAATGTGGTCCCGGAGCTGAAACACCGCGGTTCGGCTTCGGATGGACTCAGATTTTGAAATCTCCACCCGGTCCCAGTCGGAACCTTCTAGAGGCACCGGCGGCTGCAGAGAGAGGAAAGACCCGGCTGTCAAACTGCCCGGACATGACGTATTCAGACATTAGGCGTCGAGTACCGATGTGATACAATCGATTCACGCAGATTTTCTAAAGTATAAAATGTTTACATTTTCGTTCAGATGACACAATAATTTTATTAATCATTAAAATTAATTTCTGTAGCCTCCATGTTGTTCTTAAGCCGAAACGTTCTCATTAAATTAAGAGGAGCTGATCCGGGTCGATTAGCTTTGTCTGTTCTGATTGGAATAGCAGGGAAGAAGCATTTTACATGAACATGCTAACAGGAAACTGAACCTTGTCTTGTTGTAGTAACTTTATATCTTTGTGAATTCACCGCCTCTGTGTCCGGTAGGTTTATTTTGAGTGTTTAGCAGCCACCCGTTCATCTCCTGCCATTGAGGCTCTTAAACGCCCAGTGTTAGCTAAGTTAGCTTAGCAGACAGCAGAGAGTCTGCAGACCAGACAGGCATGCGGTTGTTTTGAGCCTCTTGGGCACAAGTGTGTCAAGATATTATCTATTTTATCTACATCATTTACACACCACTGTAAAAAATTTAGAATCCTGCCTCAAAAGCTTGATTGTATCCAGCCAGTTGTGTGAAAGCACTACTGTATATGTTTGTGTACTGTATATGTCTTTGATGCTGTAAGGTTGTAGAAAGTCCTCCTTACAAATAGATTTTGTATGACAGGTTTGTTTTGTACATGGAGTACTAAACGCGATACAATGGCACAACCAGAGTGGCATCTGAGGGGGACAAAGAGACAAAGATCTCTCTTAGCAACAGTTGAATTAGAACAGATGAAATTAGCAGTCATTGTTAAAAGAAACTAGAACCTTAGCATCAGAAAATGTGAGCTGTGTCCCAAATCTGAGGTAGTCATGGGATGACCTGTCCTGTGTTAGTCTTATTTTCTGGTGTAGAAGTCAAAGAAATGTCAATGTAGCAATGGAAGACTCACAAAAAAAGATTCAGACTGAAGTCTGGGTATCAAAAAATCTCTAATTTACCTGTTGCAGGGCTGTACAGTGGCAGTGGACTAAAAGTGCATAGAGTCCAAAAACGTTTTAGTCCATGTTGGACTTTCTTCAGTGCAGAATGAGACATGCATGCTGGTTCACCATACACATAGGTAACTCTTATAAGACAGCTACCAATAGGTCACATCATTACAAGTCAAAGAGCAAACACAACAAAGCTTAGTGTCAAACAACTGCTGGTACACATACATACACTCACCGGCCATTTTATTAGGTACACCTTGCTGGTGCCAGGTTGGACCCTCTTTTTAATTCTTGGTGTCACAGACTCAACAAGGAGCTGGAAACATTCCTCAGAGATGTTGGTCCATATTGACATGATGACATCACACAGTTGCTGCAGATTTGTCGGCTGCACATCCATGATGAGAATCTCCCGTTCCAGCACATCCCAAAGGTGCTCTATTGGACTGAGATCTGGTGACTGTGGAGGCCATTGGAGTACAGTGAACTCATTGTCATGTTTGAGATGATGTGAGCTTTGTGACATGGTGCGTTATCCTGCTGGAAGTAGCCATCAGAAGATGGGTACACTGTGGTCATAAAGGGATGGACACGCTCAGCAACAATACTCAGGTAGGCTGTGGTGTTTAAACCATGCTCAGTTGGTACTAAGAAAATCTCCCCCACACCATTACACCACCAGCAGCAGCCTGAAGCGTTGATACAAGGCAGGATGGATCCATGCTTCCATCTGAATGTGGTTTTTCCAATCTTCTATTGTCCAGTTTTGGTGAGAAAACCCGTGTGAATTGTAGCCTCAGTTTCCTGTTGTTAGCTGACAGGAGTGGCACCTGGTGTGGTCTTCTGCTGCTGTAGCCCATCTGCTTCAAGGTTGGACAAGGTGTTGTTGCTTCAGAGATGCTCTTCTGCACACCTTGGTTGGAACCAGTGCTTATTTGACTTCCTGTTGCCTTTCTATCATCTTGAACCAGTCTGGCCATTCTCCTCTGACCTCTGGCATCAACAAGGCATTTTGGCTCACTGGATATTTGCTCTTTTTGGGACCATCCTCTGTAAACCCTAGAGATGGTTGTGCTGAAAATCCCAGTAAATACTCAGACCAGCCCGTCTGGCACCAACAACCATGCCACATTCAAAGTCACTTAAATCACCTTTCTTCGTCATTCTGATGCTCCGTTTGAACTTCAGCAGCTCGTCTTCACCATGTCTACATGCCTACATTGAATATCTGCCAGGTGATTGGCTGATTAGCTCTTTGTGTTAACAAGCTGTTGAACAGGTGTACCTAATAAAGTGGCCGGTGAGTACATACATACATACATACATACACACACATACAATTATGGGATGAAAACTGACAAGTGGGGTTCGCAGGTACAGAGAGACAATACGAGTCACAGAAAACACGTCATATCTTATTTTTCATTTAAGCCATTGGGATGGAGTGTTTTAAGGTAAAAGATACATCTGCACTTACACTGGAGTTGAATTTGGTTTATATTACCCCCATGGTGATCAGGTACCATCATGTCAATGCCACAGAATGCCAAATCTGATATAGAATGATTACTGAAAAGTGAAAGTGTCTGGCAACAGCTGATTTAGGATCAGCACGGCGAATGGCAAATTTATGTCCATTGATCTTGAATCTTAAGTTGTTTTCTTGTTTTACCGCCAAAGTGAATGTAGATATAAATGGGGTGACAAAAACACAGCAATTCTTATTTTCAGGTGATTATACACTGAAGACAACAAATTTATTTATATTTAATTTCTGCCAATATATCCCCATAAATCCTTCACATCGGACCATCAAGACTATTTTACATGCCTGGCCAACAGTCTGAAAACTCAAATGCTTTAATTTACAACAATGAGAATAAGAAGAGCTCGACATCCTTAAGTTTTTTTGTTTTTTTTTTTAAATTGTTCGTTTACTTGTTATGACTTAGGAAAGTTTACCAACTGCCATCGGCTGAGTAACTGTCCTGTGGCGAATGAAGTAATCATTCCAGCACTGACCACCCTGTGTGTTTCCTAACAAATGTCTCTGCACCTCCTGCAGCCTGAAGTCATGCTGCCGCTGAAGGAGAAGGATAAACCCATCATCCAGAAGCTGCTGTCAGCTGGCTGCTGTGCCCGCTGTGTCCTCAGGTTCTGCTGTGTGAGCGTCCAGGCTGCCTACAGAAAACCCCACCAGGTAAGAGTCACCTTCTGTGCTCTATTATGAGTGTTTTAAAAGTGCTGGTGTTCCCTCTTAATGCCTTTAACGTACTGACCCATCATGCATTGTGTCAACATCAGGATACACTTAAAGAACTCAAAGCCTTCATCAACAACACAGAGAACAGCAAATCACAAGAATCAGCAGAAGAAAACAGCAAATCCCATGATGCAGCAGTACCAGATCCAACTGAAGACCCCCCAAGTAAAAGAGCGAAACTGGAGCCCAGTGAGACTGGGTGTCTGCCAGAGGACGACGCTGCTGCTGTTGTCAGACTGAAGGATGAAGAGTCGAGTGTGTGTGTGGTGTGTTTGGGGATCCTGCAGGAACTCTGTGGCCCGACTCAGGCTGTAAAGGTGTGTAAAACAGGCACGTACCACAGGGACTGCAGTGACATATTGGTTCAGATAAACTTGATGTTTTGTTCTGCGTTCACAGATAGCAGAGAAGGTGAAGGCAGAAAAGTACGAGTTCGACACTCTGGTGCTGTCTGTCTCTCTGCCTGCTCAGCTGTGTGTCCGAGAGGTCAGTCTATGTGTGTATGTGGTGCTCTAGTGAGTGTTTGTGGCAGCAGGGCAGTGTATGTAGGATTGAGTCCAAATAAACTACAGTGTGTGTTCATGGTATTGAAGCAACATAATTAATAATACATAATACATAATTGTTAACGGGTGTTTATTTTATTCCTGCAGCACTCCTGTTGGCTTCATGTGAAGAAGGAATTAAGGTAAATGATTTTGTCTTGTGTCCTACATTTCAAACGTCACCTCATGTTCAGTCTGGCATCATGTGGAATAACACAATTAAAGGGACATTTCACCCCAAAATACCTTACCTGCTATTTATCAATCTAGATTGTTTTGGCGTGAGTTGCAGAGACTTGGAGATATCAGCCGTAGAGATATAATGAAACTAGATGGCACTCAGCTTGTGGTGCTCAAAGCAAAAAAAAATTCAACAGCAATGTCCCTGGTTACTCAAAATAATCCAAAGACCTTGTTGTGAGCGGTTTCACGTAGGGATTCTTTTCCTTCTACCAAACTACACTTGGATGAGAGGCCCGTGCTTGTGACAACACCAAGCATAAATAATGATGGCATCCTCCTCAGCTGAGTTGTGATGTTAGCAAGCTCGGTGGTGAGCTAGCAGTAGATGCACGCTGCCCTTCTGCACAGTGATATGATTGGTGGGTGTAGTTTGGTGGAAAGAAAATAGTCCCTGGATATCATTTAAAAAATCATGATAGCAGTGCCCTTAAGTGATACCGATTATTTAAAAAAAAAAAATACTTGTGTTGCTCAAAGCACCGAAAAACCCTCAACAGCAATGTTTCTTTCTAGAAATCTCTTTCCAATCTTGTCTACTCACTCAGAGAGAAGAGTATGGCAGTCGACAAGGACGACGTCATCCAGGTGAAGGAGGCCTTTAAGTGGATCATGCAGGGTCAGGTCGCCAAGGAGCTGGGGGGCATTGTAGTAGTTACCAGGGTAGGCCAGAAAAATTCTGTCATTTATTCATCTATTTAAGGAATATGTTTCATACACACGTTTACAATCTTGACGTTATATATTAAACCTTTAATGTTTCCTTTTCAGTTTACATTCTCACAGCCAATTTTGGGATTTAAAAGCCTTTAATTTATATTTTTCTCCCTCTGATTTATTAAAATGATTTTATTTTTCCACACTAGATGACAAATTATGTGGAGCTGACATTCTGTTTTTGTTTGTAATTTCAGAGTTTCTTCGAGGTCGGTGTGGAGTTCACTCACCCAGAGACGGACGCTGACTGCCACTTCCTGTGAGTGCTGGTATCTCTGCAGAGCTACAGAAAGCTGTGATGTTACGTTGCTGACTTTAGATGAATGTAAAAGCAGAATTAAATTAAATGCATGGATCATCACATTTAATGGTAACAATAAGTACACAGGTCAAAGGTCAGAACAACAATTCATGTCACACTGTGTGTTCCAGTACCCATACTGCCGTACGACGGAAAAGGATTTATGTTCCAGTACATAGTATTTCAAATGTAGTATGCCAAAAATACCAGGATGTTCCACTACATCTGGTTGGATTTTGCAATACCCAATGCAGCATGCTTTTCTGCAGCGGACAGTGTGTCACATTGACTGAGCCGCAAACAGATGACAGCTGATTGACAGCTGTTAGTGGTTAGTGGTGTTTGTTTTATCTCCAAGGTAACGGATATCAAAGCAAGAGGGTCAAAGTTCAGGATGTAATGTTATGAGACAGTAGTACGTCCTGATCGTGTTCATACTGCATGCAACAGTACGTAGTTTTTCAGGACAGCTGCAGCACCTACTGAAAGTAAAAAGAAAAAGTATGCGATTCGGAGCACACCCATGGATGATTGTGTTAGTCTTGGACTTTGATGTGGAGCTGACCTCTGACCTGTGAACCTGACTGATGCTCTGCCTTCTGTTTTCTGTCCCTCCCACAGAGCAACAACGTGTGCTGACTGCTTCAAACCCACCAAGAACAAACAGGTGAGGAAGCAACAGAGTGAACGTGTTAAAGAGTTTTTTTTAATCAATAGCATTATGTTTTTTTGTCATGTTGAAACTTACAAGTTTTTAAGACACATTAAAGAAATAGTTTGACTTTTTAAAAAAAAAAAAAAAAAAATACCAGTTAGAGGAGAAAATCGATACCGCTGTCATGTCTGTCTGTTCAGTATGAAGCTGGAGCCGGGAGATGGTTAGCTTAGCTTAGCATAAAGTCTGGAACCTGGGGGAAAAGAGCTACCCTGGCTCTGTCTGAAGCTCACTAATTAAAATGTTACATCTGAAGTCTAAAAGGAAAACAGTGGAGCATCAGCCAATCGTATTTTTGTTTCTAGCTGTGGCACTTTGTTTTTTGGCTAGCTGACGGTACACTAGCTTTCTGTGCATTGCGGTGCAAACAGGGATCCAATGGGGCAGTGAAATATGATGTTAAAATGGGGCTCAGACATAAATCATAAGTATAGATATTTTTTGACTACATACAAACTGTAGATGGCATTCTGTTGAGGTGCTTTATGGCAAGTAGCGGACACACACAAACACGTGATGATGTAAATACGTTAACTCGTAGTGTGAACACAGTATAGGAAGTCCCCTAGTCTGATTATTAAAGCTTGTGTGTGTGACGGTCAGAGCATTTATACAGCAGCAAATCACTGTTTGATCTGTAAAGATGTAGTGGAGTAATGTCTGCCCTTTTTATATCATATTATCTACAGTATATTATAGGTATAATAAAAACTGTGTTTGTCTTTTGTGTCTTTGTGCAGTCGGTGTTCACCCGGATGGCCGTGGTCAAAGCTCTGGAAAAGATAGATGATGCAAAATTCCTAAAGTAAACATCAGCTTCATATCTGAGTTCTTACTATCTCAGTTTAGGTGTTTTTTTTCTAAAGAGTGCAGATTGAAATATTTGTTAAAACCTTTTCAGACATTACCCTTGTCCACCAGCTCAGCCGAGCAGCAGCTGCATCTCTCAGGACGTCCAGTGTCTCCATGTGTCTGTCTTTGTGGCAGGTATTGTAGGACACACACGCAAACATCTTTTATACTTTTTTTTAATCTGAATTCAGAATCAATAGTGGATCAGTTTTCTGTCCTGATGTTCTGTCTGGTTTCCAGGGAGGTACAACAAGTTCTGTCGCAGTCTACCTCAGACTCCCTGGGTCATCGACGGAGAGAGGAGGATGGAGTCGTCGGTGGAGGAGCTGATCGCAGCGCCCATCCTGTCTGCCTTTAGAGCCGACGGTAAGTCCACACTCTGGTGGCTGGTTGTGGCTGCAGCTTGAGAGCAGTGATCCTGAATGTTTTGTCATGTATTCACCCTTTTTCTTTTGTTACAGGATTCAATTTCTCCTCGTCTGGCAGGGAAGATGTGGATGTCCGGACTCTTGGAAATGGTGAGACACACTCTTTTTTTAAGCTGCACCTCTAGAGAACTTTATCAGCTGTAGTTTGAAGAATGAATTTCTGTTTCGGTTTAATTGGCAGGTCGTCCGTTTGCGATGGAGCTGCTGAATCCTCACAGATCCAGATTCAGCAAAGTGGAGATGAAGCAGCTGCAGGAGGTTGTCTCCATCAGCTCACTACAAAACCTCATCATCATCATCATCATCCACCTCACAAACTGCAGATAAAACACCTCACTCACACTCTGCTCCAGAGCAAAATATCTCAACAACTACAGCCAGTTTGGTCACGTCTTTTTGTTTTCTTGCAGCCATAAAGATCTCCAGAGAGTAGATCTCACTTTTACACAAACCTGAGGGCACCCGTTCATCTTCAGCCTCTCATCTGGAGCTGGGTCAGGGTGGCAGCAGGCTAAGCAAAGTAGACATTTCTCTCCCAAGCAATGTTTTCCAGCTCCTCACGGGAGCTACAAAAACATTTCCAAACCAGATGAGACATATTATCCCTTTAGCATGTTCTTGGTCTCCTACCAGTTAGACATGCCAAGAAACGATTGATTTTAATTGTGCACAAAAGGAAATCTAAAAAGATGTAGATGCAACAAAGCCACCAAAAATACTACATAAAATATTATACCACTAAAATCCTACTATGCTACTGCAGAATTCACGGTAGTTTTTGAGATATTTAACTTTGGACCAAAGTGTTTAACAGACTGACTATTGAATATTCTGTGAAGCTGATGTTTGTTCTTAATAATTCTCTCTGTTAAAATCTCTCATTACACTGACAGAGCCGCACACATGCAGTGTCTCTGCCCTTACATGTTTTTTACTGACGCTAATCTAAAGGTTTTGTTTTGTTTTTTTAGACCATCAACAAGTCTTCAGACAAAATCAGGGTGAGAGACCTGCAGATTGTTACCAGGTGAGAAGATATGAATCTAAACTGCACCTGCATGGTGATGATTATTATTAGTATTTTTTTTTTTTTTTTTATTTGCAGTTTATAAAACAACAAATATGAAAAATACAGAATAAAATATTTGCCATACATACAATAATAATTGCCTGTATGATGCAGGGTTAGCTCAGTTTACATGGTAGTTGCATTATTTTTTTACCCTCCTCAGCCTGATCCAGTACTTAAAAAATATCTGTGCCTTAAGAAAACCTGCACACCTATATTCTCAGGTAACACATGCTGTTGATTGACACCATCATTAAACCAGACATGCCTGCATGGGGAGCTTTACGCTTCCCTTAATGAAGACTAGTGCATTAAAGAAAACTGTAATGTACAGAGCCATGTTGATTTGGAATAAACTACCACTATACTTAACACAGGTTACCAGTAGGATTACTTTTAAAAAGAAATTAAGAACAGCAGTTATCAAAAAACTACTACTACTGATGTGAAGACATTGTAAATGTGAGATAACTAGCACTAATGGGGATCCTAATAAAGAATAAAGGAGAGAGGAAATTGAAGATGAAGCAGTTGTAGAGTCATACACAGTCTGCTCGTAATGGGGTTATAAATTTGATCAGTTTAGTCCAGATTTGATAGAATTTGTTTTTTTTTTTGGATCCTCAAAGAGAAGGTCAGCTTTTCCATTTTAAATATTTCAAAAATGATTCGGTACTTATCCTCCAGAGTGGGTGGCACTGGGATTAGCCACTTTGTAGTGACTGATTTTTTACTTCCTGCCAAACGGGCCTGCAGCTGCTTTGAATCCCTCCTCTGTTTCAAAAACAGAATGTGATCCAGATAAAGAGTCTCCAAGTTCAGGAGTACTTGAGTTGTAAACACTTTTGTTGATGCGCTTGCAGTGTAAACTTAGTTTGGGACAGTCCCAAAATATTTGCAAAAGGTATGCTTCCATTGAGCCACATACATCTCCAATATATCAAATTCATATTTTTGTACTTTTCCTGATGCTGGGTCTTAGAATGTCGAATATTTTTCCAACAATGTTCTCTCCCATCCATGGAGGAAATTGAGGACCACTGCAAACTGCAAATATCTCCCAAGCCTCTTCAGAGAGCTGATTCCTGCTTCTTTTCCCCACTTTTCTTTAAAATAAAGGTGTTTTCATTTTTGGCGTAATAAACTGCATGAAAAAAATATGACAAATGAGCATAAAAGACAGCTGACGGTTGTGTTAACCTGCAGGGAGGCCATGAGTCGGATGAAGGAGGGAGAGGAGGAGAAAACCAAGTCATACACGGCGCTCGTCTGGACTCAGAAACCCATTCAGAGTGAAGACATCGCCTTCATCGATGACATCAAGGTCACTACAACACACACACACACAGTCAGTCACATCAGTTTGTGTGTACAGCCAAGAGATTAAAGATATTATTCAGGCTGATTTGTGACCCAAGATGCTGAACTAATCATTTGCACATCAAACTGCATCCCACATTTTAAACAGGCCTGTGATGTTTTTAAATTGAGTTTGAGGTTAGATTGATGCAAACAGAAATGTATTATCTCCATGGGAGATCCAGAGTGACCACCAGTAGAAAACAGTGACGCTGCAGGAATAAACCAACTGTCCTATCGAGCAGATGAAGATTAAAATCTAAAATAAAGTCTCTGGCTGTCGTTGATCCTGTCAGGATCTGACTCTGGACCAGAAGACTCCTCTGAGGGTGTTGCACCGACGGGCACTGGCCGTCCGTCAGCGAGTCGTCCACAGTATGACCACCCGCTTCCTGGACTCTCATCACTTCTACCTGGGGCTGAAGACACAGGCCGGGACGTATCCTCACATTTGTTCTTTCTCTGTCTAGCTTAAATCATTAAATCAGCGAGACTGAAAGTCTGTAGAAACGTTAGTGGTCCCATGATGCTTTAATGCTCATTACACACCCCAATATAAAATTACTGGATGTAAGAATCATAAGATATTCTTCTTAGATCTGTACTACCAGTGAGGAAAAATGCAAAGGATATCAAGAGGAGGGCGCCAGAGGAAAGGCCAAGTTGTTTTACCCGCTGCCAGTGGTGGAGTGTCACTACAGTTACTCAAGTACTTTACTTTGTTATGAGACAAATATTGTACTTTTACCTCCACTGCATTTATTTGATACTGAAGAATATTTAGGAATTTCGGATACTCTGGTTCAAGGACTTTATCAACTCAGTGATGTGTCAGTCAGGACAGATGAGCACATGCAGGAGGTTTCATTTCACTCTTTTATTTGAAGGCAGTTTGAGCTGGTTTGTCTAATTAACAATCCAACAACAGTATTTCAACTTCAAACACAATAACTTAACTGCAGCAAATAAATATTGATCCTCTAAGGTTACTCTAAATGCATTTACATCAAAGGAAACTTAAAACAATTCGAAGGTGGTATGAGGCTGGTCCACATGCTCCTTTGTTCTCCCGAGTAAAAAGGACTCCCACCTATGAGCTGCTGCTACATGTAGACTCTGGGCTCTGCCCATTCAGGAAGAGGGAGGCAGGTGGGAGTGGCTGGGGATTGTCAGTGCAGGTAGATGGAGACAGGTAGAGGGTTGCTCATCCCTAACCCCTATAAAGAAAATAAGCTGCAACATTAAAGCGTTAAAAACATTAATGCATCGGGGCGTTGGTAGCGTTGGTAGTGGATAGTGCCGGCGCCCCATGTACAGAGGCGATGCCTCACTGCAGTGGTCGCAGGTTCGACTCCGGCTTGCAACTCTTTGCTGCATGTCAACCCCCACTCTCTCACCCTCACCCTGTTTCAATCTGTCCTGTCCATTAAAGGCAAAAAGCCCAAAAAAAAAAATCATTTTGGACAAGTACTTCTCCTTTTGGTATTTAAAGTATATTTTGATGCCAATACATTTGAACTTTTACTTAAAGTAAAGTACAAGTACCTCACATTTGAACTGAAGTACAGTCCTTGAGTAAATGCACTCCCCTCCACTGGTTCCTGTACCTTGTGTTCACAAAGTGCTCCTGAACATCAGCCAACAGTTACATCAAAGAGTTCGTCCACGGAGACTTCGGTCGCACCAAACCCAACCTGTGTCAGCTGCTGAAGACCGATACCGACATCCTGGAGCTCGACGTGGAGGTGAGATTATCATCCATTAGGAAATGTAAAATCTGTTTATGTGACACATACATGAAAGAACTGCATGCATTCATTCATTCATTCATTTTCCGTAACCGCTTATCCTCTTGAGGATCACGAGGGGCTGGAGCCTATCCCAGCTGACACTGTGTGAGAGGCAGGGTTCACCCTGGACAGGTCACCAGACTATCACAGGCCTGACACATAGAGACAGACAACCATTCACACTCACATTCACACTTACGGACAATTTAGAGTCACCAATTAACCTGCATGTCTTTGGACTGTGGGAGGAAGCTGGAGCACCTGGAGGAAACCCACGCTGACACAGGGAGAACATGCAAACATGCATTACATACTTTTCAGTGTATGTCATTCATTGTGCAAAGTAAGAAAAAGCATGTTGGCCGACTCCAGTAGTTCATTGTAAAGCCAGTATCAGCCGATATTGATGATGTGCTGATATTATCGTGCACCCCTAGTTGTTTTTCAATGTGGAGAAAATGAGCAAAATATATCAGCTATAAAACTGTGACTGAATTGTCACATCAGGCGTCCCATATCTTTATGTTTCCTCTCTCAGTCTGTGGATGTGGACTGGCCTCCGCCCATACCAGAGTGAACGCTGCCGCCGCCTTCATCCTGTCTCTGAGAGGCCACAGATGTTCAATTTCCATGAGACCGAAGGTGACCGTGTGTAGGAGAACGACACCAGACCATGGATGTGGTTCAGAGTGCCTGAGACTGTAACCATAATGTGGAGGTGAAGAGGAAACCATGAACTCACAGCAGTTACACAGTCCTGCTGGCTGCTTTGTGAAGCCTGCTCCGTTCATGGTTTGGTTCTGGATTTGCCTCCTTGACTGTGTCTTCAGTTTTATCACAGCAAATGTTTTTGTACACTTTCGAGTGGTCTTCTTCTGTTGTGATTAGTTTCAGGCAAGTCGTTTTTTCTGTAACAAGACTGTAAGTGAAATGAAGCAGTGACGCTCATTAAACCAGAATTGTTTTGTTTGGTATGAAAATGTAGAGACAGATTTTCTATTTTCACTTTTTACCACCAGTGATGCAAAAAAACGTCCAGTTTGTCCTGATGATGGCGCCAGAGGATCAGTGTTGTTACCTAAATCAGTAGGGTTGCTTTTCATTAAGCTACATACGCTTCCTTGTGTCCTCTCTCCTTCTGTGAACCAGATGTCATTCCCCTCTTCTACCATCATGAAGGATCTTCCAATCCCTTAAATGCACCTGGAGGAGTCAAGGAGAGAGGAGGCTTCTGGAGGAGCTTAGCTTAGCTGATGTTGCTTAAGACTGATGCTATGGAAACAAGGATTACTTATTTGGTAGCATCGGCTCCTCGCGTCCTGTTTTCACATCCTCACTGAGAGGAGCTAAGACACAAGCAAGGGAACTGAGGAGCCACGTAAGGATGTTGAAAACCATCCTTAAGTCTGAATTTTATCATCCTCAGCTGAGTTTCACGTAGCTTCATTCAAGATCTCAGACTTCATGCTGCTGAATCACAGAGTAATCGCTCCTGATGTAAACCTGAGGGGGAAAAACCAAACAATATTTAATTTACTGTTATCCAGCAGCACGGTTGTATCATCAAAGGTGTCGTCATCTCATTGACAAACTATTCTATGATAAAAGGGTAAAATATTGTGGAAACCAACGTTTCTGTTAAGTATTTCCACGACATATTTCTACAACTTCAAGATAAAATACCAAAAATGTTTAGATGTTTCCTCTCAAGGTCTGCAGAGGAAAGACTGATGAGGTCACAGATGGGGTCAGTAGGTCAACAAGATAACAACTAGCATGCTAACGTTTGCACAATAACTATTGTTGTCATTATACATCATCATTGCTGCATTAGGGGAGTGAATCGTAAGAGACCCCAAGATACAATATTATCTCGATCCTGAAGTCACAATATCATATAACGTTTCGCGATATGCTGATTATTGGGATAATATATATTTTTATTTTTTACATTTTTTCAACGACAAATTGTAAAATTGTAAAGTAAAACTTTGCCAACATCTGTCGTATCTAATAAGATAAAGTTTTCAGTCATCTCACTTCACTCACTTTTCATTTCAGCAAAATGTATCTAAAAATAAATTTATTTTATTCTTCTAATAGGCTACCAAACATTTCATTTCTACTGTCAATATTAATAATTTAGATCATAAAAAATACATACTTGGCATCTGTGTATTGATATAATATTACCACATGGATACGAAGCTGATTCGATTTATTTTTCCCACCTTTCACATCAGTTGGTGCTGTTCTCACAGCAGACATGATGCTCTCTGTTATCTGATGTAACTGAGTCTCACATTTCAAGTGTCTCCAAATTAATTTTTACAGCAAACTGAACTGAAACAAATGAACCTGGAAAATATTAATATCACATTAGGAAGTCTGATTCTCTGGTGTGTGGGACTGGCTATCAAACGCAATACTGTTTCATACAAGCCATATTATCAAAGAGTCCCTAAAGATATTGGAAGATGGCATTGAATGTGGCATTGAAAACTCAATTGTAATAGCCAGGTTTCAACCAGTAGAGGGCAGTCACTGGGCATATTTTTAACACAATATGTAGAATTCAAATACTTTACACTTAAATGTCAAGACTTGGACCTATCCACATACATTAGTGTTCAACTGATACAAGTGGTTTTGGGGTTTAGTTACTTTTTTAAATATCAATATTGTTATTACTATTTGACAGGTCATCAGTCACTGCAACTTCTGACAGCTGTCAGTCAGCTGTCAAGCTGTCATCTGTTTGCAGCTCAGTCGATGTGACGAGGATTGTGGGTCAGAACAGCCAAAAAACGCATGCCGGCGTGCAGACTGCAAAATCAGACGAGATGCAGTAGAATATCCTGGTGTTTTTGGCATGTATTGTGACGTACTGAAACTTTTTTGTCCGCGCACTATATACTATGGTAGTATGGGGATTGGAACGCACAGATGATGTCACACAGTAGTTAACCTTTGACCTTTTGGATACAAAATGTCATCACATTTATCATTTTATCTTATTAAACATTTGTGTGAAATTCCGTAATAATTAGCATATTAATTCTTGGTTTATGGCCAAAAACATGTTTTGAAAGGTCACAGTGACCTTTGACCACCAAATTCTAATCAGTACATCGCTGAATCCACGGGTGCACTTGTTCCAAATGTGAAGTTATCCCCTAAAGGTGTTCTTGAGATATCACATTTGTGAGAATGAGACAGGTGCAAGGTCACAGCCAATTCTAATCAGGTAATTGTTGAGTCCAAGTGGATGTTTGTGCCAAATTTTCAGAAATTCCGTCAAGGCATTTTTGAGATATTTTGTACACAAGAATAAAACAAACAAGGTCACAATGACCTTGACCTTTGACCACCAAATTTTGACAAATTAATTGTTGAGTCCAAGCGGACATTTGTGCCCAATTTTAAGAAATTCCCTCAAGGTATTTTTGAGATTTTGCTTACACAAAAATAAGAGAAACGAGGTCACAATGACCTTGACCTTTGACCACCAAATTTTGATAAGTTAATTGTTGAGTCCAAGCAGACGTTGGTGCCAAATTTTAAGAAATTCCCTCAAGGCATTTTTGAGACAAACAAGGTCACAATAACCTTGACCTTTGACCACCAAATTTTGATCAGTTAATTGTTGAGTCCAAACGGACGTTTGTGCCAAATTTTAAGAAATTCCCTCAAGTTTTTTTTTTTTGAGATTTTGCTTACACAAGAATAAGAGAAATGAGACCGGGTGACCTTGACCTTTGACCTTTACCACCAAAATCTAATCTGAGTCCAAGTGAACGTAAAAAGAAAATTGAGGAAATTCTCTCATGGCCTTCCTGAGATTTCACGTTCATGAGAATAAGACGCAAGGTCACAGTGACCTGACTACCCAAAATCTAACCAGTTCTTTGACACACAACATTTTCTTGAGGCTTACTTGAGATACCGTGAAAAAGGCGTCCTTTAACATCGGCATGATACGTGGCCGGTTGCCGTTATAGTTTAACGGCGCCCGGCGTCATCAGGGGAAAACGTGGCAGGACAAGGCCCGGGTGATGGAGGGTGGGAGGTGTGGTGGATGGGTCAAACAAACATCGACTTTCACCCAAGAGAGAAGTGTTTGCACCCCTAAGATCCTAAAGACAAACCCTGTTCTTTTTTCCTAAACCTAACTACGTGCTTTTGTCAATTTGCCGTGTTGTACCGAGTGCGTTTATTTTGAAAGAAACTGTATGCAAACGTTAAATTTCCTGTGAAACAGCGTGTTTTGAAAGAAGACAATGCATGTAACAGGCAGAACTTAACCCGGCGTCCCAGAACGTCCACAACCAACACACCCAGGGTACCTTGGACGTCGCATGTGGACGTGGAAAGTCCATGAGCAGGACGCCAATATGTGACGAGGTTGGAGTGAGAAATAAAGGGTCACGACAGCAGAAACCCTGAAATGTATTTCTTTTAATTTAATTCAAAATAAATACTACCACGGCAACGCAAGTCCACTACTGGGTTCTTGCCCTAATGTTTTGGTAAGAAAACAAACAAGCAAACGATCCAAAGAAAAAAGAAAAAAAAAAAAAGAATAAAAAGAGACTTCAGTTAATGCATCCATCATCATCATCATCATCATCATCGTCATCATCATCATCACCATCATCATCATCATCATCATCATCATCTTCAGCGACTTTCAAGAGGTGCCTTTTTTAACGACATACAAGGTAACACTGCCTAGAATGACAAACATAAATAAAACAAATACTATGGTACAAAAAAAATGGGGTCAAGGAGGAGCAGGGGATGATGGGATTGGAACAACCTGATGAAACCAGCACTGCAAAATAAAATAAAAAATAAGAGGTCACCCATGGTCCCACTTTTTTGTATTTTTTTTTTCTTTTTAAAGAAGGTGAAGGGAAACAGAAACGACAGTGCAGACTCCACAGTTACAGTTATGTCCTCTCACAGAACGTCAGGAGTCGATCGTTTTTGGGGACCACGGCGACTGACAGAAAGGCGGGGGTGGGGTTTGTCTCCATGGAAACATCCTCCGTGGATGATAACAAGTCGAGTCGGTGCATTGACCCGAGACGAACAAAAAAAAAAAATCGATGGAAGGGTCCAGTCTTTGACACTGTCTTATTTTTTTTCCTTCTTTTTATTTATTTTTTCTTAAATGCAGTTTTTGAGTCGGTTGTGGTTGTTGTATTTTTCGTCACTATTCTCATCAGCAAGCTTGAAGTACAGTCACACAGAAAAGAAATGTTTATGTCTCGTCTGTCAAGATGCCACCAAAGACCAAAAAAAAGAAGAAAAAAAGGCATTGCATATTTACATCAAGAAGTTTGGGGCGACTTTTTTCTGGCAGTCCTCACAGTCTTCATACATGAGTGTCTCACGGCTCAGTTTTCTCGTGATCTGTGACATGATTAGTGATTTATTGATACCCTCGGTTCAGGTTTAAAAACCACGTCTGTGTGTAAATAAATGTATCTCATAATACTGACAGGACAGACGGGGACCAGAGTCCTGCATCTGGAGCTGGAAGCCTCGTTTCTGTTGGTGTCTGCGTGATAAATTAAAATTTCTTCACTCTGATTTATCGTCTTTAAACAGTCTCTGTTTATGTGTGTGTGTGAAGATGAATGGAAACCTTGTGTGTGCTGTCAGGGTTCCTGCACAGCTCCAATAAAGACTTCTGTTTTTACTCGATATGTTTAACAGTCATGTTTCTCTCTTCACTTTTATACATGAACTTCAAGAAAACGATGATTTTCCAAAAATCTTTAGCAACTGCAAACATCTTTACAGACCTGGAAAACCTCTAATTCTTCCTCCGAACCTTCCTGGATGTGTGCAGGAACCCTGAAAGTGTGAAGTGAGAACAGCAGAGCAGATGAAGTGGGCAGTATTCTCCAGAAACAAATAAAAATTTAACTTGTTTCTTACAGATGAAGTAGTCGATACACAATCAAAGAGAAATA